GGGCACTCCGCACCCCAAGAGTTCCTCACACCCTTCCCAGTTACCAAGCACACGCTTCACGCTTCCCCACCTGCAGTTCTCCAGGCCCTCTGACCCGACCTGTAACCTTGGGGGTCGGAGCCTCTCTCTCTCTGGCCTCCCTATGCCTCCTGCTGCTAATGAACTATGCACGCGGTGCAGGGAGGGTTTCACTTTGCTGAAGCCCCAGGCCATTAATTTTCTTCCAGAGCCTTATCCCTGTGGGAAACTCACTCTGGCACGGAGGAGGAGGTCAGAGTCCCTGACTGCCGACAGCAGCAAGGATCCCCCCGAAGACGGTGAAGACCTGGATCCCACCATGAACCCTTTCGATGGAGACCTGGATCCAACTACAAACCCTTTGGATCTGCTGGGCTTGAATAACACACAGCCAAGCTCTGCAGAGGATGAGAACTCACTTGTCAGGATAGTGGGAGGGAGGGACTGCAAAGATGGCGAATGTCCCTGGCAGGTAAGTGCTGAGCAGGTTCATTGAGTTAACTGGATGGGCAATCCATTCTGGCTGGGCACTAGAGGCACAGCCATGGAGGCCGAGGCCGGGATCATGATGCCCACCCACACATGTGGACCCTCAGCAAGCTCTGAGCTCCCATGCTGAAGGAACCTGAGATGAGAAGGAACTGGGCGCTTGCTTACGCCCTCCAGCCCTGCTGCCCATTCCCATCCCATGCTCAGGATCTGAGCCCTAAAACCTCTCCTACAGTAGAAGGAGAGATGGGGTGTCAGCTCAGGCCTTGGATGAGCAGGTAAAGGGCAGCTCCCCTGATTGTGGGTGAGGTCTCTGCTGGCTCTTCTCTTTGACTGGAGGCAGAAAGATTTACTCTCCTCGTTCCATTTCTAATTTGGTAAAACTTTTTATTGAAACTCCTAAATTCTAATGAAGCAGAGAGTACCTTAGAGCAGCAGTTCTCAACCTGTGGGTCGTGATCCCTTTGGGGGTCGAACAACCTTTTCACAGGGGTCGCCTAAGACCATCCTGCATATCAGATATTTACATTATGATTCATAACAGTAGCAACATTACAGTTATGAAGTAGCAACAAAAATAATTTTATGATTGGGTCACAACATGAGAAACTGTATTTAAAGGGCCAAAAGGTTGAGAACCACTGCCTTAGAGAAAAATACATAGATTTGTTACCAAAGGTTAAAAAAAAAATCCTTTTTTTTGTTCATTTGGACTAAGGTTGGGAGATTTAGCAAATAAAAACACAGAACTTCCACTTAAATTTGAATTTCAGAGAAGCAATGAAAAATTTGTAATGTCAGTATATACCAGATATTACTTAGGACATGCTATTATACCAAAAATTATTTGCAATTCATTTGGTTCCAGTTTAACTGGATGTCCGCTGTTTTCTCTGGCAATCCTAACTTGGACTTAATACATTTTTAGTGTTCAAAGCCAAAATGGCTTCTCCTACAAGCAAAATCCCAGAGCTGCCAGTTACCTAAGCTCACCCTAATCTGCAAGCTACACGACAGCTATGCATTTGTCTGAATGATCAAGAGCCAATACAGGACATTTCAACATCTAGTCATCATTCACCCAAAGTGTATTTATGGAGAACTTGCATGTCCAGCATAGAGTTGGGGTTGTGTGTGTAGACTATGAGATCATCAGAGCTGTTTCTCTTACATGTGGACATCTAGATCTGGGAAGGGAGGGGAGATCCACCCGAATGACCACAATTCAAGTTGATGTGATAAAGGCCACGAGGATGGTACCAGTGGGTATAGAACGAAGTTCTACTGGGAAGACTAGGACAAGCGCCCTCCGGATGGAGGTGTCAGCTATAGGGGTGGTTTTAGATGGGACTCCAAGAGCAGAGTGGACAGGGAAGGGGACTGGGCAGAAGGATCCTCACCAGCCGGTTCCTCGATGAGTCTGTAGGGGGGATTCATGATTCTTGCTCTCCTGGTTCCAGTTAGCACAAGTAGCCCCATCTCCATCTTTAAGAAGAACAGATGGTGTCCAATCTTAGAAAGACTGGCTTGCTCTCACTCATCATACAAGTTGTATTAAGAGTTGATAAATTATACCCCCCCAAAAAAGGGCAAAAAAAAAT